TTGAGATTAAAATATTGGTTTATTTGGAATTAATCAGGTAAAAATTGACACTAATTAGTATGAAGAAAAGTCTGACATATAAAAAGCATGTTCTTCAATATTTCTAGCAGCACTGTTTAACGTGAAGATTTATTTTCTTTGTGAAAACAATTGTAATACTCTATCAATAAATGTCGAGTGCAAAAAGGGAAAATCGTTTCTAGCAAGATTAAAAACGAAATTTCACTTTATTGCATAGCGGCTTTTAATAAAAATATTCATTAGTGTATTGATTATAAAACAACATAATATATAATTATATTTAAAATAAATCATATATTTCTTTCATGAATATTTTTCATACAAATCCCTCATGGTTATTGTGGGTTTTTTTTCAATTTTTAACTCAGGTGTCAACAAATATTCATAACTCACACATATCAGTAGCACATGAAATTATCTAAAGTGTCCAGTGAGTTAGATGAAGAATGTTTCATTTCATTATCACATTGAATAAATATCTTTTTATGCAAGTCACTGGGTACTATGTTACAAGATATAAGCATGGATTTATTAAATAAAGGCCTAATGATCTAAAATTCATACAAGCTTGTACAATTTTTAAGTCTCGAACGTACGATATGTACGAGAGACTCTTTTTGAGAAAAATAAATACGAAAAATTAAATCATTTTGTAATACAAAAGCTAAAGATTTTAATAGTTTTTTTTTGATTTTTATTATCTTATCGGCGTTTATTTATAACCGGCACACAAATTTCAAGAAGAGTTCTGCAGACTAAAGCTTTTTGCCTTGTCAACTTGACTCCGAAGATGTTTTTTTGACCAACACACATAGTTCTTTGTGTATTATTAACTAATGAGAATGCCTCTATGATGTTTTGTTTTTTCTTGAAACTTTTATTTGAATATAGAAGGGTGGGTGTGAGTGGAGGTGTTGATTTTCTCCTCATCCACACCCACTCACCCACATCCACGCCCACACCCACCCACCCACATCCACGCCCACACCCACCCACCCACATCCACGCCCACACCCACCCATCTATATCCACGCTCACACCTCCCTCACCCACATATCACACACCACACTCCACCCACACCCACCCCCTTTTTTTTGTTTGTTGTTATTCTTCTTCTTTAAACAATATATAAATATTGTTAAAAAATTGCAAATAAAAAAAATAAAGTTATAAATCAGTTCATTTTCATTTCTATGATTTCATTCTTATTCTTAGATTTCCTAGTTTCTTCTACGACAATCACCTAGTAATTACGTTCAATACCATGTATGGACTGGTACAATGTCACTAATGTTGAGCACTGAACGATCAGTTTTGCTTTTTTGATCGATAGTCAATCTTTTCATTATCAGATTCTTGCAGTTTATTTTTTCTGGTATAATAATTATAACTTAACAACTAAGAAATATTTAGATTAAAAATTTTTGGATAATAGCGAAAATCGATGTAACGAGATTTCGCCAACGAAACTGTCAACTGATCAATCATCACAACGCTTGATTGAACTGGATACTTCATGTAAATCATCTACAAACGTTCGACAGTCCCTTACAGTGGCGAAATATCGTTGACCTTGATAACGATCGATGACTTCGTGGATTTTATTCCATGATGTCCATGTATTCTCTGCCGTACCCCATTCAGCAGCAGATTCACTAGTGTTCGATCGTTGATTGAGTGCAGCACGAAGTGAATTCGCTCTTCTTTGAAGAATGTTAATTCGACTACTACCGGAGAGTGAACTAAGTAATGATCCATTGGTACGAGTTAATTCCAACAGAAAAAATGTTCTATCATTCAAGTCAATCACAACGAAAACATGATGAGTACCAAAAAAATACTATTCCATTGCCATAAAGATGAATCTTAGTTACGTATGATATGATGTAATAAACAGCTCAATATTGACAGAAAATCTGTATAAAGATAGATGGACTATTTTATTGTTTACAAGATAGTATGTTAAGATAAGGTTACATGATGTAAAATACTTTCTTGACTTTCTTCGTGGGTAACTTGTGTAATATATCAATCGCTCGTTGCAAAACTAATTTTATTGACAAAAAGTTATCTATCTATATATATATAAACCGAAGATCGAAAAAACCCAGAACAAAAGGAAAATATATGAAGAAAAGGAATATATATTGCAAAAACGAAAATATAAAGAAAACAAGAAGAATAGAAGGGAAATTTCCAATAACAAAAAAAAATTTCTTGTGTTCTGCTATTGTGCATAGATAACACGTACAATATACATATATCTATCTTTTCTTCTTTTCTGTTCGTCTTTTTTCTTGATATAGCATAGGCGTGTTCCAACTCGTTACTTTTTCCAAGTGTCAATAGGTTTTTTCCTAGTTCATTGATCTATAGATAGTTGTCGTTTTGGAAAATAAAGCATAAAGAATATATGTTAATACTATGTAGAAAGAAGATATAAGATGATATATCTCATTCTATGTGAATATTTAATCAATTTAAAAATCCAATATATATCAACGTGAGAAACTTTAGTTAGTGTCTATTTTTTTCATTATTTAATTGAAATCTGATTCAAATATATTGAACAAATATTAGTCTATCGTGACTAATGAAACTGATTGTCTTTATTTTTTACTGTCTTTCTGTTCAAATAGTACTCAATAGCAACAGAATAACAACAACGAACAATACTAATTAGGTCTACTAATGACATGACCAATAGATAGATAAAGAAAAAGATGAATGTTAGTGTTTGCAGATAATAAAAAGGAAAGTGAAACCTATTTTTCAGCGTTCTTTTTTTGTGTGTAAAGAAAAAATTGATATCGATAAAATATTTTAAAAAGATCTTCTGTAATCGTTTTCAAAAGTGATCTAATTAGTGTATATAGTCGAGATATTTTAACTTTTTCTTTTGAAAATCCTGAATTATAAAAATGAAAACATACCTACTATAGCATTTCGATTTTCGTACTTCATCTTGATCGACAAGCTTCATTAAGTGAATTTTTCCTATATGAACTCAATGTTTTAATAAAATTTTATTGTCAAAATCTGTTCAGAAAACATTTTTCAGACGAAAGTCTTAATAAAACTAGTTTGTACACGAGAGTTGTAAAAAATTTCAATCGAGTTTCTCTGTAGTATTAACTTTCCACAATTACGTATGTTTTATAAGATATCTATAGAGAGCCATTGGAGATCTGAAATTAATATCTATTAGAAAACCCAATCTTGCGATCAAATCTTAATCAAATCATCTACAGATTTTTTGTCTCAACTCCTTAATTTTCAAAAAAACAACAAATTTTTATCTAAAAACCTGTTAGAGCGAACTATAAGTTACTGAAATGTGGAACAAGACTTAACTACTAGAGTATGGGTGTCGGTTTTATGTTCACTCCCATCAACATTCCACAGTCAATCTAAAAGCGAATTTTGACTTTATTATAAACTTAGTTTATTTCTGCAATGTACCCAATCAATCTTAATGTTCTTTTTGGTATAGGTAAATATATAAGTAACAGATGATAAAATAAAGAAAAGAACAAAATACGTACTAATGTTCTTTTTTTTTATGACAATCAGAAAGAAAAATAAGGTTGTGTAATAGAATGCATAAAACAAATGAGAACAAGAACAAAACGTGTCGACAATCGTGTTACATAATCATTTTTACTGATAAAATTCCATTACAATCAAATATTCAAGTTAATCATATTTTCAAAACAATTGAAAAACACAGCAAGTAAAAGTTATCGATTTTACTTTGATATTTTATCGAAACAAAAACAATTAATGATTAATAATAACAGTGAAAGTTTTGTAGCAGTCAAATTCATGAAAAATAATGAAATTAATCGAGTTCGAACATCAGCAGTAACATTTAAATCAATTAATTATTATTTAAATACACAAAAATGTGGCAACGTATTTCAATTTCCATGTTTAAAGAAGACTGAAAAACACATTTTAACTAAGTTATCAGGAATTTTTCAAGTAGGCATGAATGTAATTGTGGGATCAACTGGTAGTGGGAAATAATCTCTATTAGATTTATTAGCTGATCGAAAAGATCGACAAGGTTTTCAAAGTGAAATTCTTTTAAATGATCAATTACAACGTAAAGATTTTCAATATTATGATGGTTATGTTGTACAAGATGATATTGTTAGTGGAAGTTTGACTGTTAAAGAAAATTTAATGTTTTCAGCTAATATTAGATTATCAACAAAATTATCTTTCAGCGAAAAAAAATAAAATTGTCGATGAGATTATTATACAATTAAGATTAGAAAAATATGCAAATACAACAGTAGGAGCTGATTTTAAACATAGAGTATCAGGTAGACAACGAAAACGAACAAATATTGAAATGGAATTAGTTCTTTCACCTATGGTTTTGTTTTTAGATGAACCAACTACTGGTAAATTTTGTTTAAAAAAACTGTTCATATAATTTCTCTTGACATTAAAATACAAAACACGACATATTAGTTGTTGTTAATCACATGGAAATTATTTTATTGGGTCAGTTCAGGGGTATTATCGTTTCATCAGTCTTTTAGAACGACAATAAGGAAATAGTTCAAATATTCTAATGGCATTTTCGTAGAATAAAATCGTTGATAGTCTCGAGAAGGTGTCTGTTATGATTTGTGCGTGATAGGAGAGGTAGGTGTGAAGTCCTATCGTATACATCTCAACACATTGTAGATTGTATCTCATATTGTTATTCGAATTTTAATTTTTCAATTAAATAGGTCTTGATTCATCGATGGTTCGTAAAGCAATAGAATGTCTTCATCGATTATTTCGAACAGGATGTAAGGATGTGGGTGTGGGTATGGGTGTGGGTGGGTGTGGATGTGGGTGTGGGGTGTTTGTGTCAAGATAATGCCCACACCCACACCCTTGCTCACCAACGTCCATCCTCACCCTCATACCCATATTCTGATCAATCAAAAAGAAGTACTGGAGAAATTTTTGATAAAAAAAAAACCAAATTTGATATCTTTTAATCTCGTATTTTCTTGCACAGCCATAAGAAATATCATTAATGGTAGTTTCTCATAATGTTCTGTTAATTAAGAAAAAAAGTGTCAGAAGCTATCCATTCGATAGATTATTACTGCTAATAGGAATAATTAATTCATATTAAGATTCCCCACTAGTTACGCTTCATTGTATCTACATAAGGAAGACAGAATCCACAAGTTATTTATGATATTTGAATTTCACCATGAGCAAACAAAATGTTATATTGAAAATCAAATAACATTTTAATCATATAAAGGACTGAACTTTTCTATTAACGTTTCAAGAAAAAAAATTCTTCGCTCGTCCCTATAAGAGTTTTTGGACTTCAATCTTTGACAATGAAATCTGTAAATTTACATATTCAAAATTTGATTAGAGGACGAAACTGAAATTTAGTACAACAGACCTTTTCAATATTAATCGTACTCAGACAAAGATATCACTGATAACAACATTGTATTTTTCAATCTAGTGTAAGTGCAAGAATTATGATCACAAATAATTTTTCAAGTCTACCAAACTAAAAATATATTTTTATCAATTAGTGAAAAATTCTATGTAGTACAATTTTGAATGATTTATTTTGTTTTATCATGTATACGGGAATTTTCGATTTTCAATAGTTATTTTCAACTTTTGTCAAGAAGAATGACAGATGTTACAAACAAAAAGATAAAGAAGAAAAATTTTAAAAGTATATATATATATATATGCATCATAACCTATGGAATTCAATATAATTTTTTTGTAATTATCATATACATTGTATAATACAATAGACCATGGATAATACTAAAATTTTAATTCAAAATGTCAATTTTATCTAAAAATAGTAGCACTCAAGCTTTATATTCTACTTTAATTCGTAATATAATGTAAGAGAACAGATGTGTAATCTTGAGATTTTAGTCAATATAGCAATTAATGAAAATTCTCGTATATATGATAAAACAAAATAAATGATTCAATAAATACTACATAAAATTTTTCATTAATTGCTATTGATTCAAATCTTAAGATTTCAAACCTTTTTTTCATACAATATATTTTTACTATATTTGTTATAAAAAGCTTTTATTTCATCCTATGTTCATAGTAGACGCCTTGATTTTTCATACATAGTTGCATTCGTTGAAACCATTTATCAAACGTTTTTCCATAGTCGCTTGTTTTTTTGAAAGAATATATGAAATAGGTTACGATATGATGCAACTATTCTGAATTGTTCAAATTACTTAGATTGTATTTTCTTAAGTCAAATAAACAAAAATCATATGATAGTCAATTCGAAGAATTAAGTAAATGTGATGTAATAATGATACCTTGCAATTCAATCATACATCATAAACAAACAGATTTTATCGAAATTTTATTATTATGATATAAATTGAAGAATGATGTCATGATGTACAAAAATAGAGTGTCATTTTTATTATCAGTCAATATGAAAAGAAAGTTTCATTAGACTATTTATAATGAATAAAAGTGTTTTCATTACTATTTTTGGATAGCCCTAAGTGTATATATATTTAGATAAAGATATTGATAAAACGATAATAATTATTTCACATTTTACCCCCATTATCATTCGAGCAGCAACATGATAATGTAAGAAGAACTTCTGGAATTCTATTTACGATCAAACAAGGCTAAAGTTAAACTCGACTTTCAATTAAATCTATTTGTGAATAAAATCGAATCTGATCAAAGAAATCCTACGGTGTTAATAGAAGTTTTCTAGTCCTTGAATTCTCAACGCGTCTAGAAAATAATGAAAAAAAAAGACATCGTATCATTGGATGTCGTAATATCTTGTGACTTCAATGCTCTCATCTTCTTACGTCCTTCAAAGCATCTACTTTCTAATTCTCTGATAAATAGGAAATTCTTCACACACAATGCATAACATAGTTTTCTCAATTTAGACGGAAAGACTAATTGTAACCTAGTCTAAATTAATCGTGGATTGTTGCACAACCAACACATACAATTGTCAAAACATACCAAATGATAATTAGTACTTTAGAAACAGTATGATATGATATATTGAAAGTCTAGTCTCTAGATGAAGTCATAAATGCCATATAATCAGAAAAACCTGCCGATATTCACAGTATGACGATTTACGCTTGAATCGTTTCTGAAAAAGTGCATCATATTTAATAAAATATATTTTCCTCAATGAAATAAATATGCACATACTTGACAGTGAAGAAAGAGCTAAAGCTCGATATAAAGTTGAGTCATCTTTTGTGTTTTCATATTCTATCGATTAATAGTGTTGAAACTATTGATTCTCAGTATTCTCATCAGATCATGAGTCAAAAATAATACTCTTTCCGGTTTCATAACTAGTATGTTTATCTGAATAAAAGGAAATGCGTTGTTTGAGTCCTGCAAACATAGTCTTTTTTCTACATTGTGTGATTATTTCATCTTTCTACATGACCCGTAAGAAGTCATAAGATGAGACTAACAAGAACATTTGAATAGCTATAATAATGATAAGCGAAAGGAGAAATAAGTTCTCCATGTAAGTAGTTCTTTTCTTATCAAACATATTTGTTGTGTAATACAGTACTTATTTTTCATTCAAATACATATGTAAACAAGGGACTAAAATCAGATTAAAATCTATTATAATGGCACTAGTTTAATCCATTAGCAAAATTTAATTAGTTGAAATCTATTTGAATAACCAGCCGCGATTGTTATAATTTAAATAATCGTTTAAAACAGATGAAAATGAAATCAAAACTGTCTTCAAGGCTGAAAAATTTGATTAAAATAGTGCCATTATAATAGATTATTACTGAAAAAATAATCGATTTTAATATGATTTTGAGTCTTTTTTTTAATATAGATAGTTCACTTATGCTCAAAAACGAAAAAGATCATCAATGAACAATGGAAGACACAAACTCTTTTATGTCTAATCCTGTTCAATTTTGGCTATTTCTAATAGCTCTGATTCCATCTGTTGGCTGTTCGATTGCTATCTTGTATCATATGCTTTCTAATCAAACTCGACGTCATGCCATTAATAATCATGTTATTATTCTTCTTTTATTCAATAATTTGATGTATGAACTTATAGATATTCCACTATTTCTTAATTATTATCGTTTAGACACTGTTTTGCCTGCAACACAAAGTTTATGTCTTATGTGGATATTTATTGATGAAGCATTGTATTCTGTTTCAACAATAACTGTTGCTTGGGCATCAATTGAACGACATATACTTATCTTTCATAGTCAATGGTTATCTAGCAGTAGAAGACGTTTTCTTATTCATTATGTTCCGTTGGTATCACTGGTATCCTATGACATTTTGTTTCATTTCGTTGTCATTGTATTTCCACCATGTGAAAATAGGTATGATTATACACAGGAGATATGTGATCATCCACTTTGTTTTCACGATTCGAAGTTGATTGGAACATGGGATAGTGTTGTGAATGATATTATACCAACTCTAACAATTGTAGTCTTTAGCATTACTCTTCTAATAAGAGTTCTACTTCAAAATCATCGTATGCGTCATGTTGTCCAATGGCGTAAACATCGAAAAATGGCTATTCAATTACTATCGATTTCTTTTCTCTATTTTGTTCTTTATATTCCGATTATGTGTATTGAACTAGCAGAACAATGTTGCATATCTTACGAACTTACTAATCATTTCGAAAAATATGCACGATTCTTTTCGTATTATGTCATATTTCTTCTTCCATTTGTCTGCCTTTTTTCTTTGACAGAAAGTTCATGGCGACTCAAGAACATTTTTCCATGTTTAACCATCACATGAAATTGTCTGGTGAATGATTTGTTTGTTTTTTTTTCAAAGAACAATACAAACAGATACTTTTTCGATCATCAAGTAAATTGATGATATTAATAAGAAAAAATAATTGAACTAAAAGAAAATATTTTATTGTTCACATTCTATGAAATTATTAAAAAATCAGTTAAATCAAATAAAAATATTTGAAAATTGATCTGCTCTAATAACAATTCCAACATCTCTTCAGCGACACTCTAGACTATTATGACGTGTCTTCTACAACTATTATAACTTATCATTACTAATTCAAAGGATCATGAAATTTCTTAGTAACCCATTTTTCTCAAACTGAATTGTTCAATCAGTTGTTTTGAACTGACTAGTATTGTTTTACAAACGTATTTCAATTACCATGTAAAATCATGTAAATAAACAGTTATGTAGTTACATTGCAAAATAAAATGAAATATTTTTATGTTATATTGACGAATGAAAACTTTTCAGTATGTTTTGTTATATCTGATGATATTTGTGTGTAAGTTGCTGCTATTTTTCATTGTTTAAAACTCAAGACTAGAAGAAAATACGAAGTATACTATTCATCGCTTAGAAAAAAAATGCAATCTTAAAATTTTAACAATAATTAAATGTATATAATAAATTAAAAATAATTTAAATAGTTTTTGTTGTACTATTATTATATTTTATTTAAATGAAGTTTAATCTTAATTTTTAAAATGAATTAATTTAATTGAAAAAAAAATTATAATATTATACTAAAGAAATAAAATTTTCTTTCATTTGAATAATTTTCATTTTTTTTTCTTGTACTTTCTATTTGATCAGATTTTTTTTAATTTAAAAATATCTAAAATAGTCTTATTCAAGTTTATCTATATAATTTTGTGCTATTAAACAAAATATTTTTATACATAAAAAAAAAACTTTAAAAAATTCTCAATTAAATTTTATCAGATAATATCTACGAATCTTTAACGTGACATAGAAATTTATTTCACAATTATATGATTCAATCGGTTAAATAATGGGTAACTAATATATTGAATACATGCTTGATTGTAATCTTTCGCCCTATATTATTCGATTTAGATTAGCATGATCATATCAATTCGACCTGGTCTGTCTTTGTTTTGAAGAGCTTTTATCTAAGATTAGTCTACAGTTTAGATAATAATTTAATATCTAATCAACTTCTAAGTAGTCATGAATGAGTCTTTCTCTAGAAAAATACTAGACTATACAACATCTTTAATGACACTCATCAGTCACATCGTTAGGACAGATGAGAAGTTCGAACTAGTCCTAGTTAAAGACTTTTGAGACAAAGACTAAGGACTAATTAGTCATTTTACCTTCTTTTGCTCAATTGGGTAGATATCTGGTTTTCGTGCCTTAATTCAATAGTTGTACATAGTTTTTGAAGCAATTTTGTTGATTGGTACAATCATAAAATAGAACAACCGAAACGAAAAGTTCTAGAATATTGATTTTCTCATTTCTCTGTCAGTTTTTATCGTATTGTATGATCGATAGTATCTTATTTACATTTTCTCTCTATTTTCTTTCAATCGAAGCACATATAAAAAAAAACATATTCCGTTATCCAAAAAATCCATTAGTATCGACTTGACATGACGAATTCTTCCATTTTGTTAAATATGATAGTCTTTCAGCTCAGAAAATACTGACTTATAATTCAATTTACACTTCATCATTTCAAATAAGTTCACAGTAACTCTCCGAAAATATTTTTATAGGAGAATTTCAGTTGATTTTGCTAATATTTTTTTATGTATAAATAAGGAAAAACTTCCATGTGTCATAATTTAACGAAATGTCTATGTTTTTCTATTGTTGACAGCAAAAAACAATTCCTTGTCTAACGTATAGCATTATTTTTCTTTTCCCTTTTTTCTAGATAAGAAAGAAAAAAAATAAATAGCATCTATCAATTGTTGTCACAACGTGCTGTAGGAAAGAAAAAAAGAAAATTGAATATCGAGTTATTTTTCTTTTCTTTCTAATTGTCAGATAAAAAGTTTGCTTTTTCTTGTAACGATGAATGTGGAATATAAAGTATCAAAAATAGGCAAACGCAAAGTATATGACATGTTTCTCTCAATCTTCGACGGCAGAAAAAAGTATGTGAAGCAATCTAGAGTATGACGAGTGATCATAACGTTTTTGAAATGACAGATGAAGAATCATCTTCAATAAGGATTGAGCAACCATCATTAAAAAAATGTACTTTCTACTCATATTTTCGACGTATATTCGTTCTTGATAATGTACCAAATCAAAAACATCATTATCCAATATTTATTATCATAATGAGTATCCTACATATTGTCATTTATCTACTTACATATACTGATCACATTCAAGATGGTCATAGCTTCATATCAGTCTTATATCGTCTTGGTCGATTATATATACCATGTATGCGTCCAACAGAACAAAATATTCGCATGCATAGTGTATATTGTAAACCATATATAAAACGTGATATATGTTATTATGACGAGTTACTCAAATATGAATGTTTTTCTTTTGCCTATCCACATCAAGTATGGCGAATGATAACTGTTAGTTTTCTTCATATAAATTGGCTTCATCTAATAAGTAATCTTTCAGCACAACTCATACAAGGTATTCCACTTGAATGCAAGTATGGTACACGTTACATTCTTGTTATTTACTTGGTATCAGGAGTAGGATCTAGCTTGCTTGGTATGTACAGATTAGGCGACAAAGGTAAGTAATATTCTTAATATAGGCATCATTGTTAGAAACTTAAAAAAAAAGAAAGTTATAAACTTATTGTAGAAAACTATGATTGTCCATAGTTCAAATTTTTATATTCCTCTTTTTCTCTTAAAAGAAAGTATATTGCAAATATAATATCTACCTAACAATGAAGAAAATAAAACGATATGTTTTTTATTCTTCTCAAATAATGATTCATATCTGATATTATGTATCAATGAAAACGAAGTTTTACTCCATCGAAATTTATTCCTTGTTTTTTTTTTTTCTTCTTTAGTTTATTCGAATAGTTCTTAGCCATATTTTCAATAGTTTAATATAGAATACAGAGGAATAGATTAAAATATTTGTATCAATTTTTTTGCTTCTTACCATAATATTCATTAAAAGTATCGAAGACTAATCATGTGGATTCATTATGTATAGGTAAAGTCTGTTTATTTCTCTTTAGGAGCAATTGGAGCTTCTGGTTATCTACATGGTTTAATGTTATTCTTGGTTGTAGATCGTCTTCTTGCATCAAAACTGAATAAAAATCGTCGTATTTTCGTGATCATACAACTAATTATTCTTGTGTTACCATACATCATCACTAGTGTGGCTCTAATTATTTATCATAATGTACTACATGACGCCCATATAGGTGGTGCTTTGGTAGGCTTTCTTCTCGGTATACGGATGCTCGGTTGTCCATTTTTATGTATTTGCGAAGAAAATGATAGATATAAAATACTATGTCGGCGACTAATGATCATGTTTCTTATACTATATTTTGTGATAACTTTAACTATATTTTTCACAAGTGAAGCACCTATAGTCAATAGAATCAAATTTCATTATTCTTGGCATAACTACACAATTGTTAATCAAGACATTGAAATGAATTAACTGTATCATATAACTCTTATTCGTACTGAAACATTATTCATTATTTGAAAGACAGTCTATATCGAAAAAGTTGCTTAGCAAAAGATTTATTTTTAATATGTATTATAATGTCGAAAGAAAACTAATCAGTCTAGTCAGTACTATTGTGTCAAAAACGTTTTTTGACTTTTTTTTTCCTGAAGCACAGTAAATTGAATAAATGATAATATCATTTGAAATAGGAAAATAAACAAGAGTGGGAAAAATTTTAGGAAAGTAATGTTTCGAATTGATAAAAACGAATAGTCATCAGAGATATACATTAGAATTCTTTTTAAATTTATCTCCGACAATAGATTTCTATTTAGTAATAAAATATATAATTTCATATATTGCTATCTTATTCGTAATGTATCTACGAGTGTAGGTGTGGATCTTTTCTTTTATTCATATTCTGCATCTACATCCATACTAACCTTCAAAATAGAAAAAAAGCATACTGTCTAAAACATCAAATAAATCTTTCTGCTGTACGCAATAAGGTGATCGCGGATAGAAGTTGAACAACTTATTTTAATTTTTGTTCGAAACTTAATTTCTTTAACAATGTAAAACAAATCATCATGTTGTTTTTCACTTGATTCATATACAGTTTATCTTCATTGTATCTTTTGAAATGAAGAGAAAATATATTATTAATTCATGAAAACACATATTCAAGAAGAAATAATTATTCTATCAGCAGTATTCGGTAAAGAAAGTGTTCAAAAGTTACCGATAAAATTATCAAAGAAAATATTTAGTACTATTTCAATGTTTATCACGATCAAGAATTACAAAGTTTATGAACTCTAAAATCAGTAATCTTGAGAAATTCTTTTTTTTTTTCATCATAAATTATTCTTACAATGAATTCAAAACAAATCAATTGTAGGCAAATCGGGCATTTCTCTTGCAGTCGGCTCGATAAGAAAAAGAAACCTGACAAAGTGGCCGTGAAAAGATCAGATGAAAATATCGTAAACATCTTCATAGCATTCTTTCTTTTATAATAAAGAAACTATTGTCAGAATTTATCGGAACAGAATCTAATCTTTTGTACAGGTTCAAAAAGAAAGACCTCTAAAAGAAAATAGAAGTCGAGCGATTCATACTTTCATTATTTTCTCAAATTCTGATGAACATTTTTTTTTTCTTAATATGATTGCTGAGAAATCGAGATAATTCTGCCCATGCTTTTTTTTTTGTTTATAATCATATTTATATCAGAGCTTTCTAATAGATGTAAAAACTCTTTTGAAATCTGATTTTCGATAATTCGACACTCATCTCTTTTAATATGACATTTCTGACATCAGTTTTTTTCAAGAGTATAACATTTTTGCTACTTGGAAAAAGTTATTAAAAAGCGTTATTCTATTTGACATAACTTTCAGAACATTGTTTCTTATGAAACAAGAAAATACCTTATATGTGTGAATACTTATTACACTAAAATAAAAATCTTTTATGTATTTTCAAAATTATCGACAGTTTTCTCTAACAATATAGGCTTTATGGACATTGAGATTAGTTTGAATCAAATATGTTTCTATCTACATAAGAAATATTCCTTAATTTCATTGGTTTGGAAAGAATCTTAACAAATCTATAATAAAGTATTCATTGCCTAAATATAATTTAATTTTATACGACTAAATTAATCTAAATAAGATATTTTGATATTGAAGTAATACAACAAGAATTAAAACTAGATTTTGAATTTGTCAAACAACTATATCTGATGAATGATAATTTTTATTGTGTGAAGTCGTACTGACCAAAGTCATCAACATATTTTTCTTTTCAGATTGCTACTATTGCTCTTGTTCCTTATTGATCATTGATGTTGACAAGTTCTTTATTTCTTCGATTTTTGAAGAAAATAGTAAAGTTGTTAACAATAATCTACAGAAATATCCATAAAATTGCCATCACATGAAGGTACAAACATAATTCAAGATTCTTGCCAGGCAGAAATTCAATCTAGAACATCAGTATTACAATAATAAGAAAAGTTATTTTTAAGTTTTGATTTATCTGAAAAAAAAACTTTTCTTGAATCTTGTTTGATCGCATGGTATGACATACAAACCAAATATAGTGAAAATATAGAAGAAAATAAACCAAGGGAGGGTGTGGGTGGGTGTGGGGTGTGGGTGTGAGTGTGGGTGGGTGTGGCTGTGGATGTGAGTGTGGGTGGATGTGGGTGTGGGTGGGTGTGGGTGTGGGTGTATTGTATCTCTTCATCTGCGCCCACACCCACATTCACACCCACACCCACATTCACACCCACACCCTCATTCACACCCACACCCACACCTACATTCACACCCACGCCCACACCCACACCCACTCACACCCGTATGCTGCCAATATTTATTTAGTTTCTTCTTATCTGCGCGCATATCAGTGTACTGCATAAGAATAAAGCACAAGCTCGCATTTCTTTATTTCATCGTGAAGAATGAGTGATCATCTGCCGCCTTCACGTTTCGAAACTTTACCTAATGAAGTACTATGTGTTATTTTCTCATACTTTCCTGATCCAATCGAACTTCTGGTTAGCTTTTACGGATTAAATGAACGGCTCGACACTCTCCTAGCTTCTTGTCCGATTGCTAAACTTTACGTCGTCGAGGAAGACAAACTTACAGATGATTGCATGGAATATTTTTTATCACGGACGCAGAGTCTCTATTTAAGAGTGACGTGGCCGAGTGACGAAGAAGTGCTAACTCAGTTTTATTCTCGCGAGCGATTTTTTCACCTTGAACACTTGCATCTCTCCAGTAGAGCTCAAATACATCCTGTATTTTATGAATTGATCTTTTCAAACTTTTTCCCATTCCTTCGACAGTGCACTTTGAATTCGGTTGAGTCGTCGTCGAATTGGCTGGGATCGATCGCCTTAGAAGTTCTTTATCTGTCACTCGGCGATCCAGAAACGTATCAGTGCGTTTTGGCAGCTTGTCCGAATCTGAAAGTGTTTGGTATATACGGTTCTTGGGGAATAACAATTAATCATCATCAATCGCCATCATATATAACGCAAGCGCCTCTTACTCCTGCTCGAGATGCAGCTAGCAGCGTCCATCCGAACTTGCGACGGTTACAAGTGGTACTGAAAGATAGAAGAGAAGTAGATACTGATCTTGACAACATATTAGCGCTGACACCCACTGTAGAACACTTAGTCTTATTGTACGGATGTCTTTACCATTACAACATATTGGAAACATTCGCCATAATAGTGAAACGTTTGCCTAACTTGCAAAGAATAGATTGTGATCTGTCAGTCAGCTTATCGGAAAAAGATACAACAATTATTGACGATATTCAACAGTTGCATCCAACCTTCCATCGACTTCGTCTCGATAAGGCTTATACATTCTACTTTCTCCGAACATACAGACAAAGTCATCCGAGTGCGCCTTTTCCATTCTCAACAATATTTCCTGATAACTGTATTGGCTTCTCGTTTCATGATAATGTTTTCATTCCATTAACAGCAGACAACACTTACGAAGACTAATGTCAGGAGATGGGTTAGATACTCATCTCTCACAGTTATTTATGCCTACCACATTGATCTCTATATCAACATTTATACACAGACAAGTGTCTCGTCTCTCTCTTTTATATTTAGTTAAGATATAAATTTTCTTATTACATCTTCGTTGAGGAAAAGATATGAAAAAAA